GCATTCTGGCACCCAAGTGGAAGAGTCTAATCGATATTTGTGTCGCAAATCCGTGTCCATAGCTGGTCTTGTTGGATGGCAAGGCGCCACCACCATCTTCCAAGCAAGGCCGTGTTGTGTTTCCTCAGGTTTTGAATGCCAAGTCCACCGAGATGCTTAGGCTGGCATAGTTTCTCTCAAGAGATGAGGTGGAACTTATGGGTAGTGACCTTGCTTGACCAAAAGAATCTGCAAAAGGTTGCTCGAGTCAAAAAGTAACTGCGGCTGGCATGTGGAATATGGACATCTGGTGCATCGGGATATTGGCAAGGTGGCCTTGATGAGGTTTAACCTCCCCGCCAGGGAGATAAAATGACCCTTCTAGCCTGCAAGTACCACACCACATATGAGCCTTCCTGTTTTCTCCGCCGTGGTCTCTCTAATGCGGTCTTTGTTTGCTCCCGACTGACTTTCAACCCTTTTTTATACGCGGTCGACCTTGTCGATGATATGCGACCGCAAACACTTCTTGGGTTTGCCAATGCAAAGAGGCAATCCCAAATAATTTGAAGGGAGGGGTTATGCCTGGCATCCCCAGTTGTCTGCAAAGGACTGAGTGACTTGGAGATCCAAAGCAACCCCAATCATCTTGGATTTGTTTAGTTTTACTTTGAAGCTCATGGAAAGCTCGAAACATCTTATGAAGAGAAAGAGGTTATCGAGTTCCTGTTGGGAGGCGTTGCAAAAGACGAGGGTATCGTCTGCATACTGGAGGTGGGTGGTAATAGGGCCTTGGGGTCCACAATTAAAGCCATGCATTCTTTCTGATGAGAACATCCTTGAGATGGCCCGATTGAAAACCTCTGCCGATATAGCAAAGAGAAACGGGGAGAGGGGATCGCCTTACCTAGGTCCCCCTAGAGGAGGGGAAAAAAACCAGTGTTCACAAAATCGGGTGGTTCAAATCGGAACCACCCGGTTAGATCGGAATTGGTCACTGGATGGCTTTGGTGATCCGATCGTGTATTTTAAAAAGAAATTCAAAAACATTATATAAAATCCCAAAAAATAAGGGATTTGTTTGTTATGTGTTTTTTAATGTTTTTCATTATTTTGGCAAAGATTGGAAAGTGTTTTGGCCATTAATGCTTATCTTTACATTTTTCCCATTTTTTTTGAAAAATTTCAAAAATACCCCTGGTCACAAATCTATTTTTTAAAACCCATTTTTCACTAATTTTCAAATTCATTTGGACGTTCTTTGTTTTTTCTTTTTTCTTTTTTTTTGTTTTGTTTGGTTTTTTATTTTTTTGGGTAAGTAGGATGTGCTTTGTTTTATCATTGCTTTAAATATACTTTTCATATATTTTTTTGTTTTTTTTATAGTTTTTACACACTTTTTTGATCGCCCGGTACTTGCCGTTAGGCCGATTGAACCGGCCGGTTTACCGATTACTCAGTACTGGCCCTTTGCCGGTTCTGAGTCCGGTTCGATTTTCGAACACTGGAAGAAACCTTTGGGCGACCCGTCCTAGTGCCTCATCCAAAAGCGCCTAGTCTACATGGTCATACACTTTTTCTCAATCTAGTTTATTGACCAGATTGGGTAATTTCGCTAAGTGTTTTGAATGGATGTAGTTATGGGCTACAGGAGCCCTATCGAGGATTTGTCTGTCTTTGACAATAACCCCCTTCAGGCGAGTTGTTAGGACTTTGGAAATAATTTTGTTGGTGGAGTTGATAAGGGTGATAGTCTTTAAGTTGCTTGGCTCCTTCGATTTTATGGATGAGGGTAATGAAGGTAGGATTCATCGCCCTGTGGACGGCTCCCCTGGATTGGAATTCTTTGAAGAGAACTGGGATGTCGATGCAGAGAGAGTCCCCAAGTATTTTACAGGGAGCCATCAGAAAGCCGTTGGGTCCAGGGGCCCTGTCAAAAGCAAGTTGGTTGATAGCCGAAATGATTTCTTTTTCTGAGAAGGGTCTCTTTAGCCAAGATGCTTTATTGGGGGCAGAGAGAGGAAAGAGAGGTCACCCATTGTGGGTCTGGAACTAGAGGAGGCAGAAAAGAGCCACTTAAAGAAGGAAATTATGGCTTCTTTGACCTCAAAGAGTTGGTCAAGAGTTTTATCACCTACTGAGAGGTGTGACATTGTATTGTCTATGCGTCTACAATTGGAAATTTTGTGGACAAAAAGAGGTATCGAGGTCCGCAGACTGGAGCCATTTGATCCCGGACCTCTGATGCCAAAAAATCTCTTCTTTTTTAAGGAGACTGGGAATCAATCTTGAGTTGGGATCTCATTTGCTGCTCGGAATCAAAGAGAGGCCTAGAATCTTCCGCGCTGTCTAGGCTGTGGATAGACAGGAGGGTTGAGGATAGAGTCTTGGAAAGATTCAGGCAGCTGACGGCTCCAATCTTTAAGAGAAGACTTAGGAAACTGGAGTTTACGTTGAATCTTAAATCCCACCCAGCCGTGAGCCAGCGAGGAGAGAATCTCACCAGGCAGGGAATTGGGTCTTGACGGAGCATTCTTCTAACCAAACCCATTCAAATCTTAAAGGTTTGGGACCTCTAGATGCGAGGTTAGTGTCCAACAGAATTAGGCAATGATCGGAAGTGGGTTTTGGCAAAGCAAAAACATGGGACCCTGGAAAAGAGGAGTCCCAATCCATACTGACCAGGAAACGGTAAAGTTTAGAGAGGGACGGGGTGGAGTAGTGGATGGACCACGTGAATTGCCCCCCCTGGATTGGCATATCAATTGGGTTGTTATGGAAGACAATCAAAAAAATTCAGCATGGCTTGAGAAATCCTAGAACTAGTATTCCTCTCAAAAGACCACCTAGTGACATTATAGTCCTCACCTAGGCAGTAGGTGGGGTGGGGGAGAGGTGATAAGGTTAAGTTCATCCCAGAACTGAGGTCTAAGAGATTCCACATTGGGGCCGTAGACTTCACTGAACTTCCAGCACAGACCATCGGGATTTGGGATAGCAAAACAGAAATTGAGAAAGAGGCAATGTGGGTGGAGGAGAGGTTATGGGCATTAGAGTCCCAAATGACCCAGGTGCCCCCCCAAGCCCCCGTGGCAGGCAACGATTCCCACTGACATGGGCTACAGCCCCAAACTTGTCTTACTTGAAGGAGAGGGGAGTTTAGTTTTGGCAAGGGCTAAAATGGTTGGGTGGTGTTTGAGACAGAGGTCCCTAACCGCAATTTCTTTTGGGGATGTCCCAAACCTCTCACATTCCAAGAGATGATAATCATCTTGGCGATATGAGGTGGGGGACACTCCTAGGAGAGCATCTGGGAAGGAAGCCATTGAGGGGGATATC